CAGTGTTAGAAATTTTGTACGTGAAAAATTTTAGACAATGTTTTAGGACTTGTTCTCTCATCATGTTTGATACAGCTTCACTTCACAATTTAAAATCCTGTTGTTTTGCTAGCAGACCGAAAGAAAGAATGCTGTTTGTTTTGTTATATGCTCTTGAATATTGTGTCCGAGCTATGTTGTTTGACTTTGCTACTATATTCTTATGTGGCTTTGTTAAGTAGACTTGATATAGATATTTTTGCATTTTGAAATTAGTATGATGCCATGGTAGGAGCTGTTCGTAAAATCATCATCTGACCAATTGTCGTAGCATTTAATAATACTATTGTAATGGTGTTCAGATTTTAGCGATTGCTTGACAGCAGCTACCAGTGTCAATTAGGTCAAACTGGTTGTAGAGAGGCACAGAATGGTCTGCTTATGGCCATAGGGTTTTTGACGGGTGGGCCAACTCCATCCTGCTACATTTCTCTGTGACTTATCTTGCAACTTGCCCATTTTGGCCCGTGACCTGCTCAGTAGGCCATAATTCCGAGCTCATCTTGGCCTTTCAGCTCATTTTGGAACCGCTAAGACTGGACATTGGCGCGTTACTTTTGTTTTGTTTCTCCAACTCCCTTACTTGGCAGTTTGGTGAGAGGTTTAGGGCTAGTTACCTTCAAGGGAATATTCACCTGCAGTCGGATTAAGGAGCTAGCCAAAGCATGCTTTGTGGGTGAAAATTTTTCGATTTCTTGATAGGAACATGGATTTGCCAGATAAATTTCTTAAGCACGGTTTCCCTAGCTGCTAGCGATTAGATAAGCGTTACTGCTATTATTTTGCATTATAGTTGAATTGTTACTACTATTCTTACCTACCTTAGCATTTATGACTTTGTTCCCCACATTTCATAACTATACTAGCCTCTGCCTATATCAATTTTTCATAAGTTAGTGCAATTATTTTGCATTATAGTTGAATTGTTACTACTATTCTTCCCTACCTTAGCATTTATGACTTTGTTCCCCACATTTCATATCTATATTAGCCTATGCCTATATCAACTGTTCATAAGTTACTGCTATTATTTTGCATTATAGTTGAATTGTTACTACTATTGTTCCCTACCTTAGCATTTATGACTCTGTTACCCACTTTTCATATCTATATTAGCCTATGGCTATATCAATTGTTCATAAGTTAATCATGACCATATTTTTCGAGATCAGTTAAGGGTCGAATGGGGATAAAATACCAAAGATGGTAGTGGGCGTCACACTGAGGACTAATGCCCAGAACATGTGGAAAAAATAGTGTCAAGTTTGATAGAATGATCTCCACAAAGAATATAACATAATTAGAAAGCTTATCGAGTCAAGAGTACGATGCATTTTACGATCATAATTTCAATTTTTATATAAAAGTTATGCTTGCTTCTGTCCAAGTTGTGCCACAATTTGAGCTAAGGGGGTCGACGCCTAGGATTGAGGTCGCGCTTTGCTTCTTTGTTGCACTCTATGGATCGTGTACGATGCTGAGATCATTTATACCATGCCCCCATTTGATTCTAATTTTTCACCCTAAAAAATCAATTTTTTTACCTTTATTCAATAAAGTTAGTTGTCATTTTTTACTTCTTCACTCACGGGTATGATTCATTTTTCTCTATAACGGTCAATAAAATGATTCTCATAATCACTATTAAACATGCCCTATATTTTCATCATTTTTGTTAACTTGTTTAACTATTTAAAATTGAATTATAAAGATTTTTCATTGGGACGCCCTTCGTAAATTATCCCAATCCAAGAATGTTCAATTTTAATGTTCTTATTGAATCTCGTGTATACTTATGGTCTATAGTAAAGCTTGTATAATGTGCCCTCTGTGACTCACGTGCCTTTACATCATTTTTATTAATTTTTACTTATCTATAAGTAATTAAAAACCACAATAGAAAAACTTTAAACTTTATTAACTTCCTAGCTCTCTCATATCCAACTACTAGCTTATTCTTCGTCAACTCCTAACTTATTCAAGTAATAGCACCAATACTAAGCACTAGTCTAGATGGTATTCAACTATCATTAATCGATTAATTATCTAAAAGATACGAACTAAAATTCCATCTAAATTGACGCTATATGCTTACTTATCATCGTTCCAAAAGAAATAAATAAATAAATTACTAATCTTTTTTTTTTTTTTTTTTTTTTTTCTTTTTTCGGGGGGGGGGGGAGGCGTCAATTTTATGATTCGCCAATAGAAAAAGAATTTTGTTGATTAGATATGTAGATTGAAAAAGAGAATTAAATAGAATTAATGAGTGGTTAGTTTCCCACTCATAAAGTAGTAATTAGTGGATTAATAACAAAAAAAGGCAAGTCCTAATGATATAGACGCGACTAGACAAGACACTAATAAATTGTATTTTTTTTTTCTTCCACGTATGATATAAAATATTGCGTGTATTAATTTTTATCATGCAAAGAATTCGAACTGCTTTAACAATGGAAGATGTGAGTTTGCTCTAGAGCAATAATTTGTATTTTGCACGTTCCTCGTTATTTTTTATTTTCATAGAAGTTATATGGTAAATTCAAGGATCCGTTTGGCAGGAATTTTACTTTTGCTCCTATTTCTTGTAAAAGAAAACTTCCCGATAAAGCAATCTTAGACCAACCTCCTGCTAAATGCTCTTTTCAATTCAAAAAGATTATTAAATATGTAATAGTAACTCCTTAATCTCGAAAACAATTTTTCAAATAGGCCGACAGTCTTACTCCAATACTTTTTCAATATTCAATTAGAGCTATTCTTTCGATGGTTCGAAACAATATCAACAGAAAAATTGCAATTTGCCATAAAGATTATCCTATATAAAGCCAGATGTAGAATTAGAAACTTCCAATTTTCAATTCAGGGAAGACAAGCAAAAAGATTAATCTCAGTATCGCACAATGTTTGTTTATATAACTTCAGAAAACAGAAACAGACTCGACACGTTCTGCTAATTGAAGATCTCAATTTCTATTGAATTATGTTATGAACAGGGATAACTATACCTAACCTTCTTCGCCTCCAGAAAGAAATTAATATCCGGATTAAGCATTTCTCCTGTTCTTGCCGGTTCTGATTTACACCTCGTTAGTAGTAAAGGATGCACTGCACCTCCGGCATTTTCGTTTGAACCTGGAACATTATTCACTGAATTTTCAGATTCTTGATTTCTTCTTGAATCCGGCCTCACATTTTCACAGCTGGGCTTCTGTAATTCTGGAAATTCATGCTCTGGTTTTGCTTCAATTTCTGTGTCATGCTTAGTTTCTGTTGAGGCTAATGGAGAACCCCAGAACTGGCCTGCTAATGATGAAGATCTATAAGGTGCAGAACGGCACCTAGTTAATAGTAAAGCATTTCTTGGTGGTGAAGAATCAAGAATATTCTCTATATTTTCTTGAATTCGAGCTTCAACCTTGCCAAAATTCCTGTCAATTTTATGGGTTTCGTTCCTTCGGGTTCCTTGGTTCGAATCAACCCTGAAAGAATTCTCTGTTGCGTTAGCTTTCCTGCAAAACCCTGAGCCAAAACACAAACCCCCTCCGCAAGAAGGCCTTGGTCTTTGAAACTTCGATGAAATTATTTTATGGAAAAACAGAGTTTTCCTAAACCACCGGCAGGGACGGTATACAGCGGCGGAGGAACCATTTATGGGGGGTCGTGAGGAGTTTGTTTTGGAGGAAGAAGTCCTCACTTGGACTTGACCAAAGCAAGTAACTTTTGGAGAGGATGGTTCAACAACTGGCGCAGCATCCTTTTTGTTACGCATGCGAAACATTGGACTCAAACGTGACCTGCCTCTGCCTCTGCTTCTGCTTCCCGCATTGCTCCTCAAGAATCTCATCAATGGCGGCGGAAATTTCTCTGCCCTGCTTGGACTTGATATTGGCTTTGATAAACCTTTCATTTTCTCTCTCTTTCTCCTCCCTCTTTCTCTCTCTTTATATACATACACACCGCGCTGTATCTGCAACCAAGAAATACCTGTTGGCCTCCCTTTTCTATTTCTTGGTGTTTTTCTGTCTTGCACATTCTATCTTCGTTTTGGGGTTGGGGGTGGGGGTGGGGTTAGTGTAGGGTGTGTGTTTTATTTATTTATTAATTTATCTTTTTGAGGTATTGTAAATGACTTTTTATTATATATATTTTAATTTTGCACGGGTGGATGAAAGAGAGACCCATAGACTTTTTATTTTTTTTTTTTATATTCAAGTATCCTAGCTTACATCAAACTAAATCCTGGACCTTCAAGACTCATGCCCCTAGAACTTTGGAGGGGGTAAATCGCGAGATATGCCTCAACTGGATCACAAGTTCCTCCCATTGACTGTACACTTTTGCGCACAAGAGACCCTCCTCCACAGTAATTGCTCCATACCAAATATTTGGCCGTAGCTTCCCACCAGGAATCGAACTCTTCACCCTGCCGCTGGAAGCAAGTCAATGTTGATTGATCCACCAGTTGAGCTGTGCCCCGAGGGGCCCCATAGACTTTTTATTTCAAGATTGGATGGTTGTGCTTGGCTTTAGTGCTTAATGGATCTTGGATATCCCAACCCTCACACCTCTCCATGTAAGTTAAGTTCACAGTAAATTCTAATCACGGTGGTTCATGTCAAAGTGTACACCGGTTTGATTTAGAAAAAATATATATATATATTTCTTCGGTCAACAATTTTTTTTGAGTATTGCTACAAGTACATAAAAATATTCACAGGAGTGTCCATAATGTTACGTGGCATTTTATTATTTGTATGTTTAAAACACAATCAACTTTTTCAATCAATTTTTTCCTTCCACGTCAAATTACGTCATTCTTTATGTACATTTTTTATGTACACTTAGTAAAATTCTTTTTTTGAAAACAAAGGTAACGTCAAACTTAGCGTCAAAGTTGAGGAAACTGTCAAATACAAACCACAAACACTAACTATTACTTATTTTGTCTATTAATCAAATCCATCAATTTCTTTTGATTTTTCTCGATTCGAGCGAATGAAATGGCAACTTCCTTTCTCAAAGATACCTCTGTCATTTTCTAATATGCTATTTTTTGGGTATCTAATTTTTCTTCACGACATAAGTCCAAAGACCTAAACAGGATGAAGATACATATTTGATGTGTTGGATTAAAAAAAAAAAAAAAAAGACAATTAAGCAATCAACTTGTTAAATTGTCCAAATATAAATTGACGAGTATCCAAATTTCTTTGTCCGAGAATGCTAAGAAATGTGCACATTCACCTTAGTCTAATCGCATTTGAGTGATAAGACTAACATAATGAAGAACATGTTTGATATGTCAAACTATACAAAATGAAACAAATTGTCCAAATTATCAATTATAAAGTTTTTCTCCCAAGAAATGTGCATATCCACCTATAAGCACATTCAAGGAATGAAACTAGACATGATGAAGAAAAGAGAATTCATGATCCACTCGGATATATTAAACATGCCTTAATGTCCAACCACAAACTGACCAACACCCCCTGTTGTTAAATTACAGATTTCTAAACTACTACTCTCAGAGAACTAACAAGTGAGTTTAATGTGAAAAGTAACATTTATGACCCTGTTTGATTCCCATTCTTTGACCACAAAAATGAAAAATATGATCGTTATCCATCACATCAAGTCATCATATTTGACTTTTTATCTCTTATGTGCATCTCTTAAAGACTATATTTTTCATTTTCATTCTTACAAAAATAGGTACCAAACGGGCATATATATATTTATTTTCAAAAGACGGACCAAGAGTGGGCTCTTCCCCTTCATAAGATGTGAAAAGCCAGAATCCAATAACCTGCCATGGCTCCACTTCTGTTTTTATCTTTTCATTTGCACAAGCAATCACCAGGGCCTAAGATTTGATATGCAAACCATTTTACAAATTTGACCTTGGAATTTTGGTCCAGTGATCTGGTAGTCACGTGCAATTCAGTAATTTTATCTAGTTATTATACGGATTCATATCATCCTCTTCCAACAAGGAACAAAAAAGTCAACTTTGGTTTCAGAAATTCTTTGTGGCACTCAAAAAGGAGCTTGACTAACAAGGTGGGCGACAGGTAGCTCTCGATGCTAATAATTCAATTCAAAATCTTCCTAAAAAAATAAAAGGGTCATGCTAAGTGTACAGTTTCAATGTACACAATTCTTTACATTCCTCTCACATGGAGGGAGGCTCACACATAATATGATATTCACTACTGATGATCAACGGTTTGTTACGGTGCATCATTTTCACATTATCCATTGAAATTGATTTTTAACATTAATTAAGTTTATATAGTGATTGTAAGCTAATTAGTTAGTGGAAAAAATTAGGCTGTGATTCAAAAAAAATTAAGCGAAGTCTTTCCTCCTAAAGGATGGATGTTACTACTTTAATCTCTTATTATAGCTATTTGAAGATCTATCTATCTTGTCTTGCTTATAAAGGAAACGGCAATCCACTCTCCAATGTAGTCTTCTTGACATATTAAGTCAAGAGGGTGAGACACCAAACAATGGAAGTGGGCGAGCAGGCTCCTTTCATAGTAAAAGTTGCGGAATCTCTTCACCCCCTCTATCTTTCTTAATAAAACATCACTCCACCTTTCCAATAGCTTGCTTTGGCTTCTGCACCTCTTTCTTAAGCTAGAAGCTAGGCTAACTTAAAGCCTTACGCCTCTCCGACCAAACAGAAACTTTCACTCAAGCAAGTTGATCTAGAATACAGTTGACACAATCGAACAAGAATGAGACTCGAGAATGTAAAAGAGAACAAAGGAGAGAGAGAATATGTTTGGATAATTAGTTTGTGCTATGTGTGCTGTTTGGGATTGTGGTTAGATTGGGTCAAGATTTAGGGGACGGAAGTTGGTAATACAGTTACGGGTATGGGATTATGTAATTGATTTGATGTGCAGGGAAAAGAATAATATTATTCATATATTTAATCCCTTAATTCTTTAAGTTAATCAATAATGGTCACCATGGATTAGATTTAAGTTAATCAATAATGTTCGCACATTTATTAAAGGTTTAAAACTGCACAATATATTTTCAAAAGGTTTGGAACCTCCAATGTAAATTTCCATTGTTTTAATCAATTAAAGGTTAAAAGACTATTTAAATAAATAAATTGATCAAATTATGCTCACACGCTTAACTTTAAATCAACTAACTGATTTTTGGATGAAACCCGTCCAGAGGTCCTTCTGCGGCACAATTTTGAAAGTCTGGAACTATCTACTACGATTTAAAGGTTTAAGTGTAATCAGCAATATTTTAAAGGTTCCCTGCGGCAAATTTTCCTTAAATATGCACAATATAAACACACATAAATGACGTAACACATGGCGAGAGGCTGCTAGCATAGCATTTGTCAAGCTGAAAGATTTGGGCCGATTCACTTAACTGAAATAAAATGTGACCAAAAAAAAAAAAAAAAAGGGGCCCAGAATTTTTACGAAACTTCACAATCTTGCCTCATGTTACTGAAAAGAAATTTACGTCCAAAAATCAAGATCATGATATCCAAATACACTTCTTACTTCATAATCAACACTAGTGAATAAATGTCTCTTGTTATGTTAATGCAATAGATCACATAACAATGTATTTTAAACTTTGAACTACGGATTTGGACATATAGTTTTGTCTTTAATCCAAGTACCAAATGATTGAGCAGGTCATCAATGCAGAATCATTTAAATATTCAAACTTAGTACCTGAAGAACATGACATATAGAAATCTAATTATGTAAGCCATTCGGGACCTCTCTCCACCCTTCTGAAACTAGGCAACTGCGCTGAAATACTTGAAATAGAGAAGCCGGGCCGGCGAGATACAGTTTCATTCTTTTATTTTTCTGTCCTCTTGAAAAGCAGCAATAAAAATCCAGATTAGCTCTGGATGAGCAACAATAAAAACCCAGATTAGATATTTGCATAAATTTACCATGCAGAGGACAAGCCTTTCAAAAATATATTTATGAATTACCCAGTGTTTCAGCAAATTCACAAGTAAATTACTAGAAGAGACAATTTTGAAGTACTCATAAGCAGTTTAAAGATAAGTTGGAGTACTACAACTAGTTTTTAAGTTGCCTATATAAGTGCTTAAAATAGTTAATCTCTGTGCTTATAGAACAATACCAAACACTTTCAATGTATTAATAATTATCAATTTATCAAAATGTGAAAGTATTGATGCAAAATCTCAAACAACCCTCTAAGTAATCTAGAAGGGGGCCTTAAACTGATGTTCAAACAAAAGTCTCTTCTGTGCTGTCCATTTTAGAAAGAAACAGTAAAGGGTGTTCAATTCATAAATCCTTCTATACATCTTCATTGAAGATCAAGCTGTCAACTTTGGTTAACATGACTCCAAACATTGTCCACATCTCAACTAAAGTATATGTTTCGCTCATGATTATAAACTGTTAATAAATACCCAAACCAATTTTTATCAACACAGTTCGATTGGCCCACAAATACTGTCCACCATTCATGTCTATCTATTTATAATTTAAACCATTTGTAAACACTTCCCATATAAGCTCGAACTGGAGCCACTTACACATTTTCTATTATTGATTAATATTATATTATAGTGTTATAGGTGCAGGAACATATTCACTTTTGCTTTGAAATATACTGACTATATTAGGAAACTAAAGTCAACCATCCATTATAATTGATTTCTCTGAGCGTCGCTGCAGCAATTTTCTGTCTCACCAGTTAAGCAATTTGGAAATATATTCTCTCTCAAACTTTCACAATTTTCAAATCCTATGGTTCCATTCTATTCATCCCACAAACAACTTAAATCAACAGTCTGAATCATTTGATGTCAAGAATCAAAGTGTAACCCATGATTCGCTATTTAAGTTCAATAAATTCACGTCTAGGAAATCGTAAAAGCCAAAATCATATTCTACCAAACTCACTAGAAAACCTTTTACATTGTTTTTCATGACAAAATTATCTAACAATGGCAGCAACCCAAAAATGCCCATGGTTTAAGCAAGTGGAGAAGAAGAAAAGAAAAATGCATAAAGAAGTGCAATGACACAGAGGTGTTAGCGGAACAATACACAAGTATAAAGGAGTTAAAGGGCGGACGGATAGTTGACATTGTATATGTAAAAGAAGAAAAGCAAGGAAAGAAAAGTAAAGTAAGCTTTAGTATTATTGGGATGCCATCAATGTGGAAGGATCTATATAGTCCAATGCTCTGTAGTGAAAATAGGCCTCATTTTCATCTTTCTTCTTTTGTCTTCCTTAAGTTTAGGGGGGGGGGAATTTAGTGAGTATGGTTTTAACATGTCAATGGCTAGTTAGGATGTATTGTTGGAAATGTAACTTGATGCAATTTTACACTATTGGATAATTGTTGCAAAATGGAACGTTGAATCCAATATTTAATATATAGGTTGGTTTTCGTTTCTAGCGACCTATTCACGCTATATGTGTTCGATCATCCATAACATGGGTCTGCGTACTCTTTTTCCCAATGTAGGTACTGAAACACACTACCCACAGATCACCGCGTGCAAAAACTTGAAAAGAAGATGGTAAAAATTTCAGGAAAAAAATCTATGTAGATAGACTTCGATTCTGGAAACCTTTTCAAAAAAGAGTATACTTGACATTCTGTTCCTCATCAAATTAGATGACGGCATCTAAACTATGTGAGGAACTTCTAGAATAGAGAGTCCTCTTTTTTCTCTGATGTAGGTATCACCATTAAAGGGTGCATTTTTTAGTCTCCACCCCCTAAATAAGACCTTTTAGTAAATATTAACCACTATTTCATTTAGAAAAGGTTAAAAATAGTTTTGTTTAAACCCGAGCATACTATTGAGAATCCAATACTTTAACCCTTTATATAGTTTCTTCAGTATTTTCCACTTAAGCTCTCATTCTCTCAGCCACCTAACTGCACTATAGGAAACTCTTATCTTTAAACCTTTGTTCAGTTGACAGGAGCATCAACTTTAATGAGTTCATAAAACAGGATTCAAGAAAGTGCCTTTACATGCTACCGTGGAGAGTCTAGCCCTCAAAATAATAATGAAAGATAAGCCATTGTGTTTACTAAAGTAGCAAGAGGGAATTTCAATAGCAAGAACCATAAGGGGACACGGCTCGACAGAAAGCATTTTAGCTATTGTGAGTTCACCCAAAAAAAATTACTGAAAGTGTTAAAAATATTTTCAGGGGATTTTCCTAAAATCTTGCACCAAGATTTCTAACTTTGTTGGTCTTCAGGTTCAAAAGTACTACTCCATCACTCCAAAAGGGTAAAATTCCAACAAATCCAAATGTGTCATTACAAGAGTACCTCAAAAACAAGAAATTCACTTCGCAGGCCGACCAGTAGGCGAAGGGCTGAACCCAGCAACATAAGGTCGAGCCAATTAAATTTGAGATTAATTAAATTCCAAAAAATGTGTCAGTCAAAGATATGGGGAGATTGCCAAGTGGCAAACTGTTAATAAATATTCAAGAAAGACAATATGAAGAATCTAATGAAAATAACAACCTAACTAATGGGCAAAAGCCACAAGTTTCAAATGGAACCATCTAGAATCAACGTGTACAGGGAAAACAAAGATATTAAAAAGCCCATAGGCTTGGGATATCTAGAAAATGGCCAGAAAATCCTAAAGAAAGCAAGCAATATTAGAAACCCTAACAAATTCTTGTTTTTCATCTCCTAGGTCTTTACTTGGCAGCAATCATCCCCAGAAAGCTGCTCTTCTAGAGCTCAGGTTACCCGAAGAAGGCCTAGGAAGGATATTAAACAAGGAGGTAGCAAGGAATTTGATAGATTCAACTTTTAGGGGTCAACAATAACAATTCAGGACAGATTCCCAACCAAGTTTCACTTAACTGTTCAACAATGTTCCAACCTCCTAAGTCGAATGCTACATGAAACATGAACATCCCTGACTACTTAATGGAAAAGACTATCATATACATAAGGCGTGACCAGAAAGAGTACACCCAAAGCAAGGTCATCTTCAGTTATTTATCTAAACATAATCCCATAATAACTTCTAAAACAAATTATGTCATAATTGCCAAAGAGCGATCTTCATATCAATTAAGTCACAAATGGCTACTTATGCAGCAAGTCTTGCAGTAATTTTTAGATATTTTGCAGTCACGAAAAACATTAAGCATTTAATTCCCAGCACTTGTTCCCTTGATGCAAGATTGTTACTTTGTAAAAGAAAAATAAGCATTGTGCTTCGTTTTTTGTTTGGCAGGATAGCAATATTAGATATCACTGGACAAAATGAGGAACAAAAAAGAAGCTTAAATTGTCTAATACTATATATCAAATATGCATTATACACACAGTTAATGTGCTGGTAGCTTCAAACTTGTCAACGGAATCACAATGGTTGGGCAATTCAAGTCACTTAAAACTATCTTATCACAGGCAACAAAACTTCCTCCCTATAATAAATTGCTCACATACGACGACTCCACAAATATTCAGAAATGCACCGAAATTTTCAAAATAATTCATTGTAGCACATACTAAAAATAGATAGCACAACAATGACATTGTATCTAATTCTAAGGTTCAAAGTAAAAACAATTCAATTAGTAGCATCTCAATTGCGAAATAAGAAATTCTAACATACCGAATTAATGATTTCTCAACTGGAGCGCTTGTAAGAAACATGTTTTCTCGCGGCCCTAGCATTTTCGTACTCGAACTTCAACACGTTGGGGATGTGAGAGGTATCCTTAACATAGAAAAACCTCCCAAAAGCACTCTCTTCTATGGTCGGAAAGTAGCCCCGGAGCAAATAATTCACCACCCAAAACCAGCCTCCACCAAGCACCGCCCCAAGTGCAGCTCCCGCAATGACCTGAGCCACCGTGTGATACCCCAAATACACCCTCGAATACATAGTAAAGATCGCCAAAGGCCACACAAGAAGTCCCACAACCCACAATTGCTTCCTGGCTAAAATCCCAATCTTATAATATGTCAAAAGCGTGAAATAAACGGCAAAAAAGAACATGTACTGAGAGTGGCTGGAGGGCCAGCCGTGAGAATCGCACATTTCAAGAAGCGCACAGGTTTCGGGCCTGGCCTGCTGGACCGATGTCTTGATAATTTCATTGATGAATTGCGAAATCAACAGACCCAACGCAAAGAACATGCCTTGAAGCTCGCGGCGAAAAATGAAATGAGAAACGAACCCACCAAGACTAATGAAAACTGGGACTAAGGAAATCCATGCCAGGAAATGGCCCAATTGATCTCCTCTTTGGTACCTCACATGGGTCAGTGTTACTGCTTTCAAGGGTGGATGCGCGTGTGAATTCGACCTGTTTTCTTGAAAACTTTTCGGAAAATTAAGAAAATGTAACTGTAATAATTAGATTTTGAAATTGTATGTGGATTTTTGAAAGAACTCGGAATTTGTCAGTTTTGAATTGCGTGAATTTAGAAGGAAAGGAAAGTGCCTTAAGAATCTGAGATTTCGTTTTGCAGCAACCGTTCGTATACTTCACCAAGTCATGTTCCGAAAATGGCATGCTCAAACTAGAATATGGTATTCTATTCAGATTGTAAGCTTCATTGAAATTATCCGTGGGAATGATTTCAGATTCGGTTATTTTGCGCAAATGGACTCGATCCAATTATTGAGATTGAAATTGAACTGAGTTTGGTTTAGTTCAATTTGATTGGTCGGTCTGAACATTGATTCACCTCTAGTTGCCCTGGGCCCGAAGAGGAGCTAATTATGTGGGACCCACCACTATCTCACAACAATCTAATACGAGATAGAAAAAAGGGTAATTAACACAAAACGTCCCTACTTTTCAAGCTTATTGTAGAAAATGTCCGTCATTTTTTGACATTTTTGTCCTTATTTCAACCTTTTGTTACGTTGAATGTCCTTTTCACTATTTTGGAACGTGCACTTTTTCAAAAGTTTATAGGTATGATTGCAATTTGTTCTGAATTTTTCTCTCTTTTTTGTTTTTTTTTTTTGTTTTAAATAAGAGAGTATAATTGTCATTTGATGTTCCAAAATAGTGAAAAGGATTTTCAGCGCAACGAAAGGTTGAAATAAGGGTAAAAATATCAAAAAAATGAAAGGTATGAATGTTTTCTATGATAAGCTTAAAAGATATGGACGTTTTGTACCAATTATCCTAGAAAAAAAGTTCTTCAACACAGTAGAGTCCAACACCAGGAGTGACTAGTCTGCTTCACTGTCTTCTTCAAAAGAAGAAGGCACTGGAGTTTCTTAATTCTTACTTTAAAAATATGAATTTTAAAGTTAAAAAAAATTTATATGTATTAGTGAATTGAATTGGTTAATTAAAGGGTTGATTGCTTAATTCTTATTTTAAAAATATGAATTTTAAAGTTTAAAAAAAATTATATGTATCGGTGGATTGAATTGGTTAAGTAAAGGGTTGATTGCTTAAACCATAACCAATTCAATTAAATCCAACTTTTTAATGGTTAAAATTAAATGAACCAAATTAATTTTTTACTTCAAACTACCTTGCCCGACTCGACTCGGAATTGTTTCGATCGCCTTCTCGATTTTTTCCATCCCTAATTGATATACTGTATATATGAATCGTTTCTATAGTGAGAGATACTGTGAACATTAATAACTACTACTACTACTACTACTACTACTACTAATAATAATAATAATAATAAATATTTAAATAGGTCGGGTCAATGTTAAATTATTACTCCATTTAAGTTTACTTAAAAATCTAAAGTGGAAATTACACTTCACCCTACTTTTGAAGATCTCAATTCTTAAATCAGTTGAGGTGTTTCATCTTTCGAAAATCAGTAATATTTCCTCTCTCTCCAATCTCATTCTCTCTCCTTCTACACGTTTTCTCTCTCTCGCACACAAATTTATTCTCTTTCCAATCTCCTTCTTTCTCCATTATTTCTCCAACCATTTTCTCTCTCCCTCTTCTTCTTCTCTCAGATCGCCTCCAATCTTCTTCTCTTTCCATTATTTCTCCTGCCATTTTCTCTTTTCCTCTTTATCTTCTCTCAGATAGCCCTTCCTAGCCGCCCCAACTGATAATGAACCAATCACCTAAAAATCTAAGATCAAAAATCAAATATGGCACCAAGCTAACCATTCACAGCGTCGATCCATGGCGATCGTGGATCTATGACGGAGTTCGTTGCAGCATCGCCAACCGATCTGTGGTGTTTGTGTGCAGCAGCGACTATGGTGTTGGTGTTGGTGTGCGGTGGCGGCTATGGTGGCATTGATTTTGCGTCTGTCGTCCATTATCTGTTTATAAATGATTCCAAATGATTTTTTCCCCCTAATATGTAGCTTAGCAGGTCCAAGTGGAATGAAAATGTGGGGAGCACCAGGGTAGTTCTCGTCGTCGACCGATCTACAAATCTATGGAGGTGTGTGGTTTTGGCAAGAGTTTTGTTGGTTGCGATATGGGGAAAGTTTGGTCTCGATCTGGTCGCTATCCAGTGGTGGATGTGGTGTTTGTGATGCTCTGAGGTTTTGGTGGATTGGCGATGGTCATGGTGGTTTAGTTGGTGGCAGTTTAGACTGTTTAGTTGATTTTGTGACAAATAATTTGACAGTGAGCTGAAAATTGGGATTCACAGTTGGTGGTTATGGTGGTCATGGCAGTAGTCGTGGTGGTTTGGTTGATTTGTGACTAATAATTGGATATATGATCTGAAAATTATGATTGTGACTCACAATTGATGAAGTTGAAACTGAAAAATTAATTGTGTCCAACTAATCAAATAATTTGCAATGAGTAAATACGTTGTGACCAATAAAATTTTAAAAAATTTTGAATTCGTGACAAAAAGATTATGTGATCTATAAAATTTTCGATTTGTGACCAAGAAATAAGTTGCGACCAATAATTTGATAAGTTGTGATTAAAAACTAATATGTGACTAATTAAATAGCTAATTGTGACAAAAAAATTTGTGACCTTGAAAATGGTGATGATTTTGAAATTCTATATATGAAAGAGTCCGGTCACATAAGGAGATTTTAGGGAATGATTGTAACAGTTTCTCTCTCTCTCTCCAATCTCCCTGTCTCTCCTTCTATTTATATATATGTAGGTTAGATTCTCTGAGATTTGAAAGATCAAACTATATTTCTTAAATTTGAATTGTATATTTCTTACCATCTGGGATATGAAAATTTCCCAAATCTAAATCCATCAAAAGGCCAACCTACACTAGAAGCCCAATCTACTTTTAAAATCAAATCAAAGTGGGTGATTACAAAAATGGCGATCAACTTTCCCTATAAAAACTCCTGAAAATTCACAAGTGAAAGGTGCAATAGAAAATCATTAGTGCAGAATAAATTTTAAAGTCGGAGAAAGAGAAGAAACTTTCTCAAGTTTAAATTCGAGTAACATCGAGAAGATTGAATCTTCTTCAGATTCAAGCAGGTCCAAAATAGTTTAGAAAATTAAAGTCTTCTTCAAATCAAAGTCCTAAAGCCTAAATCGAAACCTTGAAATTCAAGCGTCAAACAAGTCAAGTTCTCAACAATAAAAGTCTCCAACAAACTTTGGAGTCAAAATTCAAGCCATATGGCCCCTCATTTTCAAACTCTCAAATTATTAATCAGAGAATTGCACAATTATGTAGATAGAAGAAGATCCACTTCTACTGTATTTCTCAAAATACAATTTATAATAATTTTTGTATTTTAATGCTCGAAATTTGTCGTACAAACATACTTGAGTATAAATTTATTACCTTTTTTTTTCTATTGTTGAGTAATCAAAAGTGATTATTTGTTTCTATTTAAAGAAAATCACGAACTTCTCGTCAATTATGTTAACGAAAAAACTCGTCTTTTCTGTATAAAAGAAAAGAAGAATATAGTATTATTTGGTGAAGCATCAATTTATATTCACTATTCTAGATAGACAAACTGTGTTTTGTTACTCCTTAAAAAACTTAAATTCAGAAGTTACATTATTTTACAAGACTTTTGTACCATTGCTTCTAAAGAAGACAGCTTAACACAAATCATCTTCTAAAAAATAATATTGATATTGCTCGTTAAAAAGTGCCAAAAGCATGACATCAATGTCTCAATCTTCAAATATGATACTTTTTTTAAGAAAGTCTTAAAAAAGCTTTGATTTGATATTTTATGTGCATTTTATGAAGTTTACAAAATTAAATGCTTATCCTTGAAAGCAAGCGTGCGTGCGCACATATACATATATGGAATTGATCTTCTAAACGTAAGTGAATTATCCAAATGGTCATTGAACTTTAAAAATCACTCAATTCATCACTGAACTTTGCAAAAGATTTTCATGGAGTCATTGAATTTTAAAAATCACTGCGTTCATCATCAAACCTTGCAAAAGGCTCCCACGGAATCACTGAACTTTGTAAAATATTTTTTTAGGGATCATCAGGTTTTATTGGTGACCCCAGGAAAATATTTTGTAAAGTTCAGTGATGAATTAAGTTATTTTTAAAGTTTAGTGACCACTTGGGTAATTCACTCCCTAAACATCGATACTTAATTTTATATTAAGCATCAGGTAACGTGAAACACTATAATAAAGAGTGTAATCAATTTTATAATCGACCATTATCTTTCACCACTTGTTAAAGTGTGACACGTCATTCGAGTACTTAGCTTGCTAAGTATCGATGTTTAGGAAATCGGTCCTCATAAACTAAGCATCGGTACTTAGTAGATCATTTTCATATATATATATATATATATATATATAACTTGGTATTTATGTAATTGGTACCCAGTTAGAAAACTTAGAGCTAAATGTTTAGAATGTTATAAAGAAGCATGTAAAAAAAAAAATTTATTGAAAAAGAAGAGGTTAACTCTGAAATTTTAAAAGAAAAAATTGAAATTTCAGAAATAAAAATTCTTAGAAAAAGAATTAATTGATAATGAAAAGATTTATAATATGTTAATAACAGAACAAGAAATAGAAAATTTAATATCTAGATTAGAAAAAATAGAAATTATAGGTGAAAATGTTTTAAAATATTGGGAAAAAGATAAAATTTTATGTGAACTTAAAATTAAAATTCCAGAATATATAATTAAAACTAAGAATATTGAAGCTACAAATCTAGACTTAGAAGATTTTAAAATACATATAAAAGAACTCTTAGAATTAGGAGTCATTAGAAAATCAGATAGTCCTCATAGATCAGTAGCCTTTATAGTCAGAAAACATTCAGAAATTGTTAGAAAAAAAAGTAGAATGGTAATTAATTATAAAAAACTTAACGATAATACTATAGATGATGCTTATAATATACCAGACAAGACAGTGTTAATAAATAAAATACAAGATTGTAAAATTTTTAGCAAGTTTGATT